ATTAAACTTGAAAATGTAAAGTAATAATAAAATTATTTAAAAGAGCAACACGCAAGTTTCTTGCTCGTTCTTCTTGTGATGAGACAGCTTTCCGAACGAGCGGTAGATTAAAAAAAAATGTAATGACTTTTCAAAAGTGCTTCAATGTAAGTTTATTTGAATAAATGATTTCTATTCTTCTATTCTTCTTCTTCTATCATAATTATTACACGAATAAAAAAACGTATATTAGATATTAACAAAAAGTAATGTATTTTCAATAAATTAAACAGAAGTATCCATGAAATATAATACATTTTATTATATTTATGTGTTTTTCTTTTACTGTCAGCAATTCCATTTTTAATTTATTATGACAAACTGAGGTGCCCCTGTTGTTACAATGATATTAGTCATTGTTACAACAGGCTCATGTTTATAGGCGACGGTTACCACTTTCCATCAGGTGGGCCGTCAGCTTGTTTGCCATTCTAAGTTGTATAAAAAAAGAATAAACATCTTAGCGTATAACTCAATGAAAAATTGAACAATTTAAAGTAAAACAGAGTTATGGAGGCTACCATCGGCATCATATCAGCCATTAAATAATTATTGCTGAACACAGAACATGGCTTTGCCAGTAGTTGCCACGTTTGACGCCTACCAATAGCGAATTGGCGCAGTTGGGCTTTGGTGGTGTTTTAAGAGAGACGCTGCTGTCCATCCCTCGACTATTGAGTTCCGCTAGTCGCCTCTTATGACACTCTCGTTAAAGGAAGGGGTGGTCCATTCTATGCTGGAACCACATGGATAAATGAAGAAATGGAAGCTATAATGTATATAAATTATTTGGGTAAAAAACTCAGAAATATGAATCATATTTTAGTCACTTTTTTATGTAAGCGACTGTAGTATATACAATACTATGTACGTAGTTATATACAACAATTAGGAACAACAACTTGTTTTCAAAATGTATTCCAACAATGTTAAAACTGTTTCAAATAGTACAATATTTACGTTTAGTTTCAAAACAGCACATTGTCATTCAATCTGTCGCAAACAATCTAAAATATACTTTCCCGCTATAAGGATTCCCTCAATTTGAGTACTTTATATATTTCACTTAGTACAAAGGAGAAAACAACATGTAAAAAGGTTATTTTTGAATGGAGAAAAACAAAGCTTTACAAATTTTGTGCTTTTATTTCTTTATTTTTTTTGCAGACATGTTATATAATGGTTTAGTTATAGTTTATTTATTTAGTTTTTGTTTACTAAAAAGTATTCTAGTATATCTTACTAGTTTATTCCCGCGACTCCGTCCGCGTGACCGGAATATGTTTATTAATCAGGATGAAAAGTAGCCTAGAATATAGGCCCTATCTCTATCCCTTACATCTAAATTCATAGTGATTCATTGAGCTGTTAAAGTGCAACAGTGCAGTGGGAACAGACAAATACACAAATAAAGTTTCTGTCATATTCATAATATTAGTGAGGATTATTCGTAAATAAAGTGAACAAAAAAAAAAGTAATAAATAATAAGAGAATTTTTTGTTGGTAAAGGCAATTTCTTAAATTTATTATTTATTAAATTAATTATTTTCATCGTAAATTACTTAATACTTGTTTTTTTTTTTCATGTATGGATTTATTTTCATTATCATCATCATACTCTCGTTAGAGATATGGATTTATTTATAAATAAATATATTGATAAATTGTTCACACCACAAGCCTTTGCCGGAAGCGTTAGTAAACATTTTTCCTAGCCCGACGTAGTCACAAGTAGACAGTACCGACAAATTGTTTCCTGCAATCCCGGAGCTGTCCTGACGCGGAAATAAAAAATGACTTGTGAATTGCAACTTATAAAGTGCTTACTGTTCAGACGAACAAATCATGACCTAAGACTTCGTGAAGGGGGGATTGTTTATAATTGAAATCTAATGACCCCTTTGCTAGCTACATGCCCTATCAGGTCGACATCCAAGCAGTTTCCCTGAAAACCATCTTGGTTAATTCTTATGCAATTCGTCACGATTGGCTAACTGGCCTGTTTCATCCTCACTGATCAACTCTCATTGGTGCTCCGCCAGCGTTTAACTGTACAATATATATCGCCCATAAAAAATACCTAAGACGTAACAAAAATAAGGTTTGTTGATTGTAACAACTGTTTATAATAGCTTTACAAAATTTCCAAAAAAAAAAATCAATTACTTACGAATATATAAAATATTATGCCGTGTGGTCCCGGCATAGAATGGACCATCCCTTTATTTCCCGTGGGTGTCGTAAGAGGCGACTAAGAGAGGGCTAGGGATGGGCTGCAGCGTCCCTTTTAAAATATCTTTAAACACTAACTGCGATTGTCAATCCGCTTGCCAAGCGTGGCAACTACTGACGTAACCCCCTTAGGGGAAGCTTATGTTCAGCAATGGACAGTTAAAAGCTGATATAATGATGATGATGATAATTTGATTTGATCATGATAGTTTAGTTTAGCTATTAAGTATAACATCAGGATTAGTTTTCGTTAAAAATTTAAGTGATTAACTGTTACATTTTTTAAATACAAATAACAGAATGGAAAAGAATCCTCTTTCACTGTGTCCACATCAATCAATTCATTAGTTTTCCTTTTTAACGCGTCTCATCAATCAATACTGTAAACTGTTTAATAATGACAGATCACACTTCAGCTATTTTATCATTCACATCATATATAGAAAAATTTGTATTAATGTGACTATCGAAAAATGATCTCAATAATCTACCACACCGATACCATACGGTTGCCAATCGGCCTGTCAAGCGTGGGAACTAGTGTCCGACCGAATTTTCGGTTTCTAGAAATTCTACTTTCGGCCTTAGTTTCGGTTTCGGCCAATAATTAGGCGAAATTTTCGGCCGCGCCAAAACTTCGTGTATTTGTGTTGCGTGGACAAACATCCAACTGAAAGTTGTTTTTTTTTTTTAAATTTACTTCCAAAAGTAAATCATAATTTTAAAATGTTTTTAGATATAAATATGTATAACATATTTGTTACATACTTTAATTAGTATTTATTATTACCTTTTAACTATCTGTGTGTTTGTGTAAATAATTGTGTAAAAATACACTAAACTTCAGTATACAAAAGAAATTTTAAATATGTTTCAGTAAGTTTCGGTTTCAGTTTTGTTTTCGGCCGAAACTGAGACCAAAGCCGAAAGTTCGGTTTCGGTTTCGGCTGTAAAACCTGTTTCGGTCGGACACTAGTGACAACTACTTGCAAAAGAGGCTTACGTTCTGCAGTGGACAGTTAAAAGCTGATGTGATGATATAAAAAAATAAAGTTACATATAAAAAATTTAATAACAACTATTAATCTACTTAGAAAATTTAATTTCACATTTATATGGACCCGCTTTCATCAGAGAGTAAGGCATACCATACGATTTAATGAACGAGAGCCCTTAATTAGTCACGCGCTCACATAATATGATTAATTATAAATGAATAATACGTTAATTAGCTATAGATCTGATAATTAGGTCAAACGCACCTGTACATTGTGATCGTACACATACAGGACACAAGACACATTCATTCGATTGTAAGGTATGTATATTAATAATACATTTACAATTAATTGGCTTTTTGCGCCCTATTTGTTATACACCAGATTGCGGCGTATAAAATATACACCAGATTTTAAGTTACACCTTCAGAAACACAACTGTGAAAACCGCATCCAATACGGTGCAGCAGTGTTCAATGCAACAACCTTACAGATATACAAATAAGACAAAATTTCTAATAGAATATTATTTTGACCTCTATATTCAATATGCATAGAATATAAAATTTTAACATTTAAAAAATTTATAGTTTATATTTTTTGTTAATGTTAATTTTTTTATATAAAGAATTATTTTTCTTAGTGGCAACATTGTATTGTAATCTCAATCAATCATCAGTCAGAGTGGTGTGCTATATCAATTTATTAGTGTTGGTTCAATAAACAATGATAAATTAAAAATAAGGCTTTTCATTAACACTCTATAAGTCTCATTAAGACTCCTCGTATTGATTTTTCCTAAATATCTCCCATATACAGACAGACATAGTCTAATTACAATCGTATTATATTAGTAAGATTGCACGTCTGATAATTCAAGCCCAACATGCCTGTACTTCAGTAACTGGTGTCCCGCCAGCGTATACCGCATAGCACAGGCTACTATTCCATTATCATCCATTTATTTTTATTAATTTAATAGCTGCCCGTCCCGGCGTTGCACAAGTGGACATTTTTACATTTTAAAAAGGGGCCACACACACGCGACGAAAGCTTAAAAATGGAATAACTTCTCCCGTTTTCCTAACATTTCCCTTCACTGCTCTACTCCTATTGATCGTAGGGTGACGAAAAGTTAACTATAACCTGCCCAGTATGAAGAGTATGAAGAATAATTGTACCAAGTTTGGTTAAAATCAGTCGAATAGTTTTTATTTCTATAACGAACATACAGACAAACAAAACTTTTACTGATTGCATTTTTGGCATCAGTATCGATCGCTAATCACCCCGCTGATAGTTATTTTGGAAATATATTTCATGTACAGAATTAACCTCTCTACAGATTTATTATAAGTATAGATAAGAGTGATCAACAAGACGTTCTCTATTCTTATTTTATGCAAATACTTCAGGTTGACTTAATAACTGGTAAAACACCAAACATTAATTATTTCAGAAGGAAACAAATCTTTTATAGCAGTTTTTTTAGCCAAATAACATAGAAAAATCACGTGCGTAAATATATATGTATTCTTGAATGTATGCCCATTTACTTCATATTAAAGGGATTAAATTGTTTTATTATTTAAAACAATAACACATATAACTGTAGTTTGTGACCATATGCATCTACGACGTCGAGTACACTTTCATCAGAACGTATAACGTACGAATGCTAATTATACATTTATAATTAAATATACATTTGATAATTTGCTCCAACGTACCTGTACTTCGTGATCATATGCATCCAGGACGCGGGACTCACTTTCATCAGAGCGTACGGTATGAAAATGACGTGCATTCCATTGAGTACGCTCGCCAGTACAGCATGCCATAGTCCTGTTTCACGTTTGAAGTCCAAAACACAGACCATGTGCTCGCCCTCTGTGTAATTGCACGCTACCGACAGCATGCGACAGTGCGCTAGCATCGCGGACCTGCAAAAATAAACTTTGGTGAGTGGAGGCAAGATTTTAGAATAAAAACAAATTATTACCAAATTATACTTGTTAAAATGTATAAAGATTTCTTTTTAACTATTCGTAATTACTGAATTTGTGTATAAAGTGTTTTATGTAACCTACTCGTGAACCAAATTTCATTCAAATTTGTTCAGTAGTTTTTGCGTGAAAAAGTAACAAACGTCCACCTATCTATGGTTACAAACTTTCGCATTTATGATATTAACAGGGTTTTTGTTAAAGGGTGGCTATGAAATAGTAACCCTGCCCGCGCTACTGGTTTACATTCGCGAGGCACCAGTGAGATATGTTAGATAAGGAGGAAGCGGGGTTGCTAGCCCTATGGTCAAGAATTAACCACGATGGATTCCAGGGATGGAATCGATCGTGGTTAATTCTTGATCGAGATCGATCTGATGGGCAATTAGGCTGTTAAACTGTATTATTATCCCTTTTTCTTTTCCTAATGTTTTATTCTCTTTAAAACATAGAAATTTAATATACAAGTGTATATAATGCCAAGGTAATTATAACGTTATAAATCAATTATAGAATAAATAAGACGGATTAGACATCTTAATAATATGAATTTTTCTGTTCTTAGGTTCAAGATAATTAATAACTTAAGACGTGAGTTAATATCTTTGTTTCGCGTACGTATACTGTTAACGCTGGTAAGATTACTATACTATATACTAAAATATTATGTAAGTTTGTAAGTACATCGATTTGAAATGTTCTAATAACTAAGTACGATAATGAAATTAATATTTGAACTTTTCCCCATTTCATTTTAACACAAAAAAGAGACAATTTAATTAATTTGATGCTAATTTCTATTATCATAGATTTACGATCAGTAGTTTAATTATTAATTAACTACTGTTTAACGTGATTTTTATAAGAAACATAGTAAAATGCAACCTGTTTAAAAACAGCGACATCTGTGTGGAATTTATGTTAATACCAGGTTTTACGAATGACAGTCACATTTACAGTTTAGTTGTTTGTATTATATTTGAACCGTTTTAGATGGCGTTGCAGTACAAGGCGATGCACTGAATAGTCATCATCCGGGTCTTCTTGCCCGCCTTTAATAGTATAGGCGGGTGAGGTAGGGGTCTCGGGGTAAACCCCTTTACCCCGGCTGCATCTCCGGAGGCAACTACCTCCGGGTCACTGGGTTATGAGCCGGCATACACTGGTGGTCTGTGTATGCCGGCGTGGTGTCTTCTTTGTTGTGGCTTCTTCTTCTTTCTTCTTGTATATATATATATATATATATATATATATTTTTGATGAAGTTAGAATAAAATAAACTCTCTATCGACAAGTTTAACTATAGTCCCGTAAAGCGTAGTACGATACTTTCTTACTGAAAACTTGATATTTTTTTATGATTGTTAATACGAAAACTAAATGTATAAAATTTGCATGTATTCTTTACTAATATTATAAATAGGAAATTGTGTTTCTTTGTTTGTTCTCTTTTTGCACCTAAATTAATTTGCCAAGCACTATGAATACACTCACTGTACGAGATGGAGAAGGACTTAGGCTACTTTTGTCCCGATCAATGAACATATCTCAGTTACACGAACGAAGTCGCGAGTAAAAGCTAGTTCTATCACAGTATTATAAATGTGGAAATTTTCAATGTTTGTTTATATGTATATTACATGTGTTTTATCTATCAACTTTTTATCTGACATTTTTTTCACATATCGAAACCATGGTTGCATTATGTTTCCCATTTTTAAGCAATTACAAAAGATTTTGTTTAATTTATTTTAAGTTTTCTTAACTTCTTCAAGTATATCAGCCTTATATCCTGAACTAATTTCTTATATAAAATTTTATCTTCTTTTCCTACTCACGGAAGGAGAGGAATTAATGGGTATCAATAATTTATAGAGATGTTAAAAAATTTCCGACTTGGGTTCAGTTAATATACTGAATAAGTTTACGCGACAGTCTAACATATCATCGATGGTATAACAAAATTGACAATGAGGTGACCAGGACTTTCCCATCATGCAAGATGTGCAAACTTTTTGATGAATAATGGCCAGATCGAAGTCGAAGAGTTAATTTAATATTATATCTACTTATTTTGGTTTCACAAAACCAAAGAATGTGTGGAGGTTCAGTCTGAATAGTATACCAAATACCTGTTTCTTTTGAAATTTCGTTAAAATATTCTTTCCACTCTTTTTGACATTGATTTTTTAATTTAGATATATATTCAGTAAAATGTGCTAACAATTGACCTATCTTCCTCTATGGTTAGTTTAGTTAAACGATCTGCTTCTTAATGGTCCCGTAAGCCAACGTATGCTGGAATCCATTGCACTATTAGATCGAATTTATTTTGGTTAAATTTTTTTTTTTTTACAACACAGGTGGCAAACGAGCATGCGGCTCACCTGATGGTAAGTGACTACCGCCGCCCATGGTCACCCACAACACCTACGGCATTGCAGGTGTGCTGCCGGCCTTTTAAAAAGGAATATGCTCTTTTCTTGAAGGTTATGTTGTCGTGTCGGTTCGGAAATACTGCTGCTGGAAGTTGATTCCAAAGAGTGGTTGTGCGTGGAAGAAAGTGCCTTGAAAAACGCACGGTGGAGGACCGCCACTCGTCCAGATGGTTGGGATGAAATTTTAGTTTATGGCGGGTTGTACGATGGTGAAAATCTGCAGCAGGTATCAATCCGAACAATTCTTCAGAGCACTCCCCATGATAAATTCGGTAGAAGATGCACAGAGATGCAACATCTCTACGCAGTTTCAGTGGGTCGAGCCGGACAGTAAGACGCCGATCGTCAACAATTCGAGCCGCCCGACTTTGAATGCGGTCTAACGGAAGGAGTTGGTACTGTGGCGCTCCTGCCCACAGGTGAGAACAGTATTCCATGTGTGGCTTCACTTGGAATGAGTTCTAACATTTTGTAAGCAATAGGGATTCCTTTCATTCCCGACGTACAACAAATTAAACGCTGTAATCTGTTCTTACACTCTGATAAAATTACACATTTCTGAATATTTATTACAGATGACATATATATATTGATATATATATGCTAGAAGCATATTGCAATTAATTCCGTTGGCATAATGGACATTTTACAATTAATTTTAAAGCAATCAAAATGTTTTTTACTTAAATCACGCTGCGTCTATTCTACTTGATGCCAATCGTTGTATTTCGCATGTATTTCTTTGACTGCTTCATGTTTTAGCAAATGGGTATGATAAAAGACTTGGCATTTGTGTTCTAGCAATCATCTTCTTTCAATTCTAGCTCTATTTTAATTATATTATTAATCTGAATAAGTGTAATCCAAATATCTAGAGAAGACATTTTAAGAGGACGAAAGAATGAACATGAATTAATTTAAAATTGATATTATATAAAGGTTCCTTTTGAAGCATCACAATTGGTCTAGATTTTTCTGTAGCTACATTATGCGATTACGTCACCAATTGTAAATCGATTTTTTATATTATTTTTGCAAACAACAAAGTTAACTTCCATAAAAGGAGCTGCTCTTTATAACTTTATTATAAAAATAGCTTATTATGAAGTAAATCCGATCGATTGCCCTGCAATATATACCTACATAATATATAAGAAACAAGGAAATAATATATAAATACTATACAATCACGCCAATCACCTGATCTCGAAGAAAAGATCATAAGGAGTGTCATAAGGAGCTAGGTAACCAACATCTAGGAGCATCCAGATTTAAGAGCCAATTAAGAAAAATTCGTTGCATAAATTATTCCTAGTGAGAATCGAACCAAAGACCTAATTCACACAAAGTAACGTATCCACCACCGTGCCACGGAGGAATAACGAGAAATCGTTCGCTTAAGTTATCTCCAAGGTTTAGTTTAAATTTACCTTTATAGGAACAAGTTATGCATCTTATTTACGCATGCAATAGATGCTGTACCGATATAAAGCAGCAACCATATCGTATATTATATAGATAAGATAATATAGATTTTGCATAACTTGCAGACTCGCAATTTACCGTTTCCAAAGATTTATGTTAGTTGCGTCACCACAACTGGCCCTTCCTTTATTGCCACTTCGCGAACAGCATTTTATAATCGTAAACTGTACACTAATACTGTCAGAGTAAGCAAATAGAAAGGTCATTAAACCGATATTGATGTGCCTTATGGTACTTAAATTTTTTTTTTTTTACAATAGCTCGATATGTTATGGTAGAATTATATAGATAGAATGTCCTCATAGATATGCTTCGAGAAAAATGGATCAACTTTTTCATACAATTTTGCGTGATAAATAGTTGAGTGATTCCTTTATAACTTCTATATTTATTTTGTCTTAAAAATATTTTTAATGCGTAAACACTAATTTTATTTATTAAATAACACGTCAAGATACATTTTATGGGTAAATATTTATAACATTGATAAAAAAAGAGTCAACTAATTTGACAATTACCTGACAAAAAGTTGACCCGTTTTTGAGACCTATCTATATAATGTAAGGATACAACAAATGTCTGCACAAGCAAGCTTCGGTGTACTGTTCATGAAGAGGATCAACCCATGCGTTAAGTTCACCTAACTCATGGGTTTACTCTTATTATGTTGATAACTAGCTGCTTTTCACCTGTTTTTTGAAGACCCCAAGATTGTAAGTTGGAGGAAAGTCACAGAATGGGATGTCTATGTGATGTCTGTTACATAAAAACAGATAAATTTTGTAAAAAAAAAATTGTTTTAGTTGTATTGCTCTTATTTAGAACACTCACTATTTTTAATCTTCCATGCACCAATATTATTTAGTTACAATTTATAAACAGTGGTAAGATTTATCGAAGTATAGATTATTGTAAAATTTATAAATAAGAAAAAACAAAATTCACTCACCTGGTAACTATAACGCCCATTGCGGATCCGTCAGCGGCAGAAGTGTGCTCGATATGGGCGGGACTGTCCTCAGCGGGACGCGGCGGGGGGATCCAGTCACGAGGGGGGCGAGGCAACTTCTCAGTGGACACCCACTGCAGGGACGGCCATCCGCGGAAAGAAACAACGTCGCCCGACGACGTTTTTGGCAACCCTACGCAATAGGATAATAATTATTTTTCAGGAAATTATATTAATAGAATACATACTCTATATACAATGTGAATATTTAAGATAGAATACTATAGTGTTCCTTCTCAAATATTCACTATATAGACTACAGAATCTATTGCAATAGAACTTCATAAAAAAGTAATTTAGTTTTGTGATCGAGGCCGTGTGATCCCCGCATAGAATAGGCCACCCCTTGCTTTTCCGTGCGTGTCGTAAGAGGCGACTATCCCATAGTGGCCTCTTACGACGAACGTAAGTGTCAAGGGATGGGCAGCAACGTCCCTCTTTAAATATCACCAAAGCTTAACTTAATTGTGGTTACCAATCCTCCTGCCAAGCGTGGCAACTATTGACAAAGCCCCTCAATAGGGAGAGGCCTATGTTGAGACATTAAATTAATATATTTTTGATTTGAACTCTGTTGGACATCAGCAGACTGTTTAATAACCGAACCAATTATTCATTTATATACATTTTCATTAAGTTCTATTGAAACAAACTATATTGGAATTAATTTTACACAAATAGCAAAACGTTCACTCTTCACCTTATAGTGACCAGTCAATGTGATGCATAAAAGAATCGGCAACAAAATATACCATACTGTTATTTCTTTACAATAACACGAAATGTACTATCTATCACATGCCTGACTGTACAAATATTAATAGCTGAACAATATTAATCTAGAGACCTGTAATATAATTCTAGGCAACTTGTAATTACAACGTGCATCTGGAGTTAATTTAGCACACAATGCATTTCTATTAACGTTAGTATGACATGTCGTCTATTCAAAGTACGACCAAGTAATTAGCAGTGCGCTAATTAATGTTATGAACCTTTTCAATACCGATCTTATGGTCAATACCTAAAATGGTACCTTCTATCAAATTATGTTTAGACTAAATACAAATGTTGAATCAATATCTGCAACTGAATACTGCCCATTGATAGTCTAATTGAAAGATCTATATATGTTGTGTATGGAAATGCATATTGCTGAATCAATTAAGCCGCAATTATTGGAGTCCACGTGTCTCTTAGAATCAATTTACCATAGAAATTAAATCATCTTGTTCAACTATTAGATGTCTATTCCTGCAAATAGAGCTCACTATACTATAAGATATATAATACCTATAGAATTATTGTAAATAAGTTTGATTATATATTTTTCATTTTCAATCGACTTCAAAAAGAAGGAAGGCATCAGTTGAGTTATTTTTTTTCACGTATGTTACCTCATAACTTGATCAGTTCTAAACCGATCTGGAAAGATCTTTTATTTTATTTGAAAAGATATGCTTACAGATTGGTTCCAGAGAAATTTTACCAAAATTGTTGTCTGATTTTTTATGGGACACAAACCTTAATTATATATACTTTTCTTTTTAGTACAAAAAGGCTTGGGTAATAACAGCGTTTTTTTCGACTGAAGAATAATTACTAACTAAAAAATAGTCAGTCTTACTTGATGTAATTGGAAGCGAAATTAGTAACTAAGGAATTCGCGTCCAAGAGGTTATAATGAGAATTACAATATAAACCTCTTCAAAACATATAAATAACTGTTTGCCACTGTGTTATTCACTAAGAGTGAGAATAAATTTTTTAAAAAGACTATTTCGTAGTAAAATAATGCGGAATAGACATGAAATAATTGTAAAAGTTATCTAAAATTCATAATATTAAGAAAACGCCGCTATAAAAAAGAAAACAAATCGAGGCCCAGCAATAGTATTAATAAAACCGTATTCAGTTATTATTTTAGCTACATCAAAATATATTTCTTTATAGTTCTTTATGAGTTTAACAGTGCAGGCTGTGTAATACAACATAAATATTTTACATTTGATTTCATATTTTGAGTTTATGCATTATTTATTGCAAATAATAAAATGAATATTCATTTTTTGTTTAACCTCAAAAGAGAATGGTAATAAATATTGTCAAGTTTTATGTTGTATTGCGGTTTCGCCCGCATTAAAATTATCTAGCGGTTTCACGGGAACTTCGGAAAAGGATTATTTCCTACGTCAAAAAAAGGAACTATAAATTTTTGTATTTCCAGTCCTTTAAAATATCGATTCATGAGGGCTGGTCTCTGTACTTTAAAAGAATAGCTATATAGTAACGCGATTTAAAAGAAATTTCACACAAAAACATGACAGCTTCAATAAACCTTACAGTACGGTTAAATTCAATAATAATAATGTGATATTTTTAGTAATCGTTAACAGTTACTTACTTTTAGTAAAAACAATCGTATAGAAATACTGTTAACATTTTAAATTCTAGTGTTTTATTGAAAGCTGAATATAAGGCTGATGGAGATTTATGTTATTTTGATAGAATAATTACGCTTATTTATACTATATATCTACTATATAATTTGTATATGTATAGCTATATATCATAGTATGATATATATGAATTACATAATATGCGTAAAATTATTTATTCCAACAATTAATATTTTCAAAATATATTACATTTTGAACGTTTATAATTTATACAGTAGAAAATATTATTGATCTTACTAGGTTATTAGCAAACTATTGGAGACATCGTAGAATTTTAGAATGATGTAAAACTATATTAATAACTTTATAAATTGAGGTAGCTATAATCCTATCCATATCATAGCAAATTTCACAGTAATATATACTTGATAGTCTTATATTAATATCAAAATATTAAAAAAACTTCCAAGTTATTTAATTTTGAACTACGAATACTTAATCTTGAAGAAATTTAAAATTTCAGGTTACTATTGCATCACGATAGAAGCATATGGTTCCCGCATATTTCAAGTGTAAAAGATATTTATAATAATAGTGAAGACAACTCACCCTTCATACACGCATCCGAAGTAAGCGCGTACTGTATCCCACAGGAGCCCAGCAAGAATCCAACCTGTTGGAGGCCTGCGTCCCTTCTTGTCAGGGGCACTTCTATGGGAACTGGCACCACCCCGGCCTGAAGGCAGCCGTAGAACGCGCACATAAAGTTTATTGGATCGTTGTTGGGGTAGACCAAGGCAACTCGATCGCCAGGCTTGATTGAACTGTCCCCGGTCAAGGGACCACCACTGCTGGTCTTCGATGTGAACGTTTTGTTGAGCAATGCGTGTGCTATTTTGAGCGAGCGGCTTAGAAGTTTACCTGTTGGTGTATCGGATGTATTATTATTAGAGATTAAATTATAATTATATTATTATTGATGTATTACAAGAGGAGAAATAAACATTGTTAAGGTTTGTAAAGGAAATTTTATATCATACTAGCTGACCCCGTAAACGTTGTTTTACCACTTATTGCGAAATATAAAAATCGCGATTAAAAGACAAGGGTTTATCGTAGAACGATGAAAATTTAAAGTTATGTGTACTTTTCAATGCTAAATCATAATAAAATAAAAATGGAAAAATTTGTTAAAAAAATAAAAAAAAAATATTTTGGGGAGGATCACCCTTATCATTGAAGGGTATGAAAAATAGATGTTGGCCGATTCTCAGACCTACCCAATATGCACACAAAATTTCATAAAAATCGGTAAAGCCGTTCGGAGGAGTTTGGTAACAAACACCGTGACACGAGAATTTTATATATAAGATTTCGACAACAACTTTATCGTATACCTAACACCCACTACTACATACGTTGATTCTGAGTGTAAAAATTTAATATTATTAAAGGAAACTAATATTATCAATAAATTTTTAACAAAAATTATGATATGTAATGAACCTTTCGTAACAGTAATATAAATGATAATAAGATATTTGTCCAAGTAAAAGGAGATCCCAAACTATTTAATTTAAATAAAGCATAGTTGAAGAAATAAAGGGTAATGATATTGTGGTGATTTTATATCTTTGTAATTTACATTTAAAACACGAGTTTTGAGAGCAAAAGAAAAGCAAAAGGGACTTCGGTTCAAATATATTGTAATTAAAAAAAATAAGGTGAAGGAAATTTTACTATAAGCACTTACCATAAGTCAGCGAATTACTAAGTTTCCCATTTGGATCCAGAACGGTGGCAACATTAGCTTTGAATGACGCTGTGCCATATCGTTGCAAGGCGGCTTCCAGGTTTCTCGGCAGGCCAGCCGGGACCACTAGTTGTTCTCCAACCGCTGGGGTCATGGTCCCACCTTCTGGTTTTGGCGCGTTAGGGTCTTTAGGATTCGCGGCTATTTCTAATTCTATGTCGTCGTCTTCGTAAAATTCAGGCAGAGGACGACGTTTCGGTCGCTTCAGTGTGTTTAATAATTGCTGAATTTTGGCCGAGACCTGAGTGAACAATGACGTACAAGCTTAATCTCAAATCTTAGTGTAAAGGATATTATAACTGCAGCATTGCATAAGAATGCACAAATATTATGTCTGTGGAAATAAATCACTTTATGATTTTTTATTTTCATATTATTTTAGTTTAGTGAGTTATTTTGAAGTCTGGTGAAAGACAAGTGATAATAAATCCTCTGAAATTACATATTACAATACATGTATGATGCGTAAGTAGGTCGATTACATAAAATAAGAAAAAAGACGCAGTAATTAAAAGGCATGTGCCAGCAAAGAAACTTTTGATATATTTAGAGGTAATAAGGCTTTTATATTTGATACATGCTAATACTATTACAGTTAGCACTCAAAAATATTAATACATGTCATTGTAAAATAAATCATTTCAATTTTACTTGTATTACACCCACCTTCCACCTCCCGGTTCCGGTTCCCGTGTCTTCAGGTTGCGAGTAGCACTGGACTCTGTCAGCTATTAATGCTCCCCCTCGCCGCGCGCCCGACGATGTATGTGTCACGTCTGGTTGGATATCTGGTTTATAAGTTCACAATATTGAGTAATGGTGGTAAATTATATTCTGCACGGTATTGCCTAGTACGGATGACAGCTGAAATTTTGGCAATATTTAATGTAAAAATATGGTGAAAATGTACTTATTAATTATTAATTGACAGTCAAATGTTTTGCTGAATCAATAAGTTATATTTTAGTATGATTTAGGTGATCTGTCATCCGCAGCATACTATAACGTTTACTAAAATTTGTAACTAAGTATGAAGTTTGTTAAATTTGATTTTGATTGAAGTTGATTTAAAGGGTTTAAGGGTCTTCAACCTTTTAAATCAGAGCTATTTTACAACTTTTTGGCAAAAACGCGTAAAACGCATTTTATAGCATTATGAGTTTCATATTTATTTCATTCTTATGGTATCCCTTCGAAATTAAGAAATAACCTGTCAAAATGTAACTTTTCAAACATTTATATTTTAAGCTTTAAAAACGTTAAAGTTCTAGTATTAGCTGTTGACATGTTTGTAGTGTAAGTACAAACAATTGATTAATTAAATAAAGCTTAACAAGTTCTTGAAATAAGTATAGAATACAGAAGTATCCGTACTATTTATTTTGTATTCTAATCGTGCAAAGTTGACTTAGATTGAGTCTACGTGCATTTGGGTTAATTTACTGTTTCCAATTAAACTTTCTGGGATTGGCGTCCATTCTACAAGCTTTGCGTTTAGTTCCTAACTTTGCTCGATTGCTCCGCAATAGGTAAGAAAATAAAACAATTGTAACACAGAAACACTGTCTGTGAGGCGCTACATATTCGTTGCTCTATTGAAATTAAAAGTTGTTTATGTTTCTGCAATCAAAATGCATGAAATAAACACGTTTTTTCTGTTACTTAGAATGGCAAACAAGTAGACGACCCACCTGATGGAAAGTGGGAACCGTCGCCTATAAACATGAGCATTACCATGGACATAATAGAGTATACTGTTTTGCCCATGATACCCCCCATGAATTGCCATTCCTGAGGGCTCAGATGTTATTCATCTGCACGCTGTCAATTCACTACCATATCCCACCCTTCAAACGACTTTTTACAAAGTCTCCCTCTGCTGATTGTACGTATTTATGTTTCTAAAGTTACGTCAGGGATGGTATACAATATGCGACTTTTATGGTGTTGGAGGCGTATGCTACAGTTATTGCTTACTATCAGATGAAAGGTATGTTTGTTTGTTTCATCTTTGTGATACAATTCTATACAAATCCGAAAACTTCGGCTTACATTAATAACATTAAGTTGCGTTTAATGGACATATGGAAAATTATAAAGTGCGGCCAAATCGGAATAATGGGATTGTAAATTGATAGATGTAAGAGATTTATATGCTATTGAGATGTAAATATTAAGGTAAATACGGCGACAATAAATCTTCCTAATATTATAAATGACAAAGTATATAAAGATGTTTTCGATAATTGTTATTTTTGAAAGGCTGACTGGATTTAAATGACACTTGGAACACAAACAAACCTTGTTCTGATTTAAAAGACAGTGTACTTTTACACACATCTGAACATGTAAGAATGCGAGTACTAAAAACAGCCATGTAACATGGTGAGTTTGAAGTTTTTCGGGTGGTATGTGGGTGTATTATGATTTTCTGTGAAATTAACAATATAAATTGCGGTCATAAGGCAAAAGTCAAAATAAGTACCTATAGCATTAATATAATTTTTGAGCATAATTTGCTAACTTTTCCAGTTTATTAAATATTGATACAGCCAATGGTTAGTTATTTTCATATTATGAGCGAAATGCCATTCAACCGTACGAAACTACTGAATATTTTATTAACACGAAACGTACGAGATTGTATATCGATGCATTTTATTTATATATCGGTAAAGTTACAAACTGACTGTCGTTTAAAATAAACGATCAGTCATATTAGATCGATTGATCGATAAATATTCTATATTTAAATAAAAACTAAACCCTATTGACAGTAATTAAGAATTTAAGTTATGTATTAAAAACTGTCTTATGCAATTTGTAAGTATGTCATAATTATCGTTATGAAATTACAAAAAATCTTTAGCCTCAGCAACAAATATAATATACATTATGTATTTTATATTTCCAACATTGATTATATTTTTTGCACATTTACACCTATATACTAAGTCACTATAGGGGGGAAAGGGATTGCCAGTAATGGAGGTCTAAAAGCCCCATTGCTAGTAATATACTCTATAAAATCAACTTCCATGTCGTTCCCCATGGAAACCGTCGTGGTTAGTTTTTGTTGAATTTATCCCGATGAGCCAACTAGCCTGCTTTCATCCTCACCGTATTTTCCACTGGTGCCCCGCCAGCAGATACTTATAGCGTAGGCAGGGTTATCATTCTATTTTTACCCATAAAAAAGTTACAGTAGGGGAGGAGAAAGGCGTCGTTACTTCATTAGTGGTGAGCTTCTATCAGGTCGATCTTTACACGTTTCACCCTAGAACCTATCTTGGCTAATTCTTGTTAAATTCGTCACGCTGAGCCAAATGACCTGCTTTCTTTATCACCCATTATCTCCCACTAGTGCTTCATTATTGTACACCTACTGATATTGTAGATGGGGGTTACCATTCCATTTTCACTCATAAAAAAGTCGCAGTAGAAATATAATTTTAGCTTTAGGGTTATTTTAATTACAGTTGAAATTAAATTCATTCGTATTTGATCATTGTGTTCGGTGATTTATCATAAATAATAATGAATTATTGAATGTGACGGTCAATTTGCTATTCTACATGGACCTTACATGCAGGTAAGTGGGTGATATCTGATAAGTCTATCTCCGTCCTCTCTCTGGGTGCGTGTTTCTTCTCCCTTTGGTGAGCTTGAGGGAGAGGATGAGGGTGTGCACGGGGGTGCGGCGCGGCGGGGCGGCGCGCCGGCGGCGAGCCCAGCTCCGGCGGCGGTGGTAGCTCTGTGTCACCTGCGCACGAATCTTCGTCTGAACTTGACGCTGAAACCATAGAATAATGTTAACTTTTTATGCATTAAGGGCAAACAACTAAAACTTGAAGGCAATTTATGTTCACGTAACAAACTGGCCCGTTCTGTCTACGACTGCAAATCATAGACTAATCTGTAAAGTTATCAGGTATTAAAAACAACATAATGAACTCCCCCAGTTTTATGTCACATAAACATAAACTAGCTCGTTTTGTCTATGAGATTGGTGTCAATTTGATGACCTGCAAATCATAGACTAATTTATAAAATTGTCAGGTTTTAAAAGCACATCATGAATCCCCAGGTGCGGTTAGTGATAGGGAACTAAGATGGACTGTTGACTAATATGTAAATATCTAATTTGTGGTTAAATTAGAAAATTTTTAAAATAATATAAATAAAACTAGTTGACGATTGCTTGTAGAGAAATTCTTTGTTATACCAAATGGTTGAAGTATTTGGACCAAATGATTAAACTATTGCACAAATGCAACTTAGATACTTTAGTCTCTTGTGTTCAACGCTAGCCTTCGGGCAAAATTTTTAATTTCATATTAACAATATTTGCACCATATAGTAACCATACCATAACCATATCAGCCGTTAATTGTTCACCACTGAACATAGACCTTCCTTTATGGGGTTTTGCCAGTTATTGTCATGCAACTAGGTCTTGGTGATATTTTAAGAGAGACGCCACTGCCTATCCTTCGACCATTAATAGGCGACCAAATTGGTCGAGGAATGGGCAGCAGTATCTTAACATCACCAAAGCCTATCAGCGGTTGCCAACATGCCTGCCAAGCGTGGCGACTACTAGCAAAACTCCCAATAGGGCGTGCCCTATGTTCAGCAGTGGACAGTTAACAGCTCTGATAATAATGATGATGATGATGATAAATAATATTTGGATACTAGTCTTAGCGTATTGGTAGCGAAATGAACGGTACAGCAATAAGTATTTGTATTAAGGTTGGGTAATAAATATATAGCAATATCTTTATATTGTAGTAATGATATGTATAGTACATTGTTCCAATAACAGATATATCAATTATCTATATATATATATAGATATTGCTATAGTACAGATATCCAATTTGTACCTCATATAGACAGGCGTGACAGATATATATTTATATTATATTTATCAACATCGTTGACTACATTACATTATTTATAAATTGTCCGGAAACATCCCACCTCGACTTTACACACGCGTATTAGTGAAGAAAATAGGACCAAATCTTCCCTTTTTTTCCCATGAATTTTTAAATATTTTATTTCATACAAACCCCTCCCTACTTCCTTCTTGTTTCCATATTTTCTTACGATTAAAGTCGCAGTTTTATTTTTTGTATATGCCAAAAAACTGTTTGTTGCTTGATAGGTACTTGTCCTATTAGGTTTGTAAATAAGAATTGTTTTAACAACACTTATTTATATATTATACATTTATAATTATAAATCTTACTATTCTAAACAAGAAAGTTTGTAAAAATGTATCTATTGATGTTTTACTATTAAACTAAGCTTAAATGGCTGACCGTTCAATTAGTATGGATGACCACATCATTAAGGTCATGTACTCTTATTGTATAGGTGCATAGGTACCCTTCCTACTCTTTTCACTTTTATTTATGGCGCCAAGCAACTCATTTGCAGACTTGGTTCTTAAATTGTCATATACAATATTTTATCATGTTTTTTTTTATTAAATTTGGTACCTATTTGCTTATTTATATTTATGTATATTTATATAAAAACATAACAATATACGAATACGAACGAAATATTTATAATTTCGATTATTATGCTTCATCTGTACTTATGAGTCCATAAATTTTTGCATGTTCCCCATATAATGAAAATTTTAATGAATATTTTATTAAATACTAGTTTTTACCCGCGTCTACATCTGCGTGACCGGAACCGTGTATTGGCAGGGATAATAAATAACCTTCTCCAAACACATTGCATTATAAAGTTTTAGGAACAGTTATAATATTTTATATATTTTTATTATACTATACATATATTTGTGTATCTTGAATACAAGAATATAAGTTAGTAAGTTTTTAGTAGTAATAGTAGTAATGTATTTAGGTAAATATAATTTCTTAGTAGAAACACCACATTCAATTATGTATCCTCTTTTTATTATACGCATACTGCTTGCTGTTAACTAATGATCCTTACTACCGAGAGTTTGTTGTAAGAGAACTCTTAACGGAATTAAACCCGTCTGTTGTACATCTTTATACAAAATAAATTATAACTATACAATCTTTGTGTAAAGTATAAATAAATAAAATTGCAGTTAGAGACAACTTTAAATATAAAAGGAGGGGGGAGGGGGGATGAGGGGGCGCAGGAGATAGCAGCAGGTAGAATCATAATCAGCAGGGTTAATTTACTTTAATGTGTACAGGTGTCAAAATATTTTGCAAATTGCCATTAGAGGTAAAAAGGAGGACGAATTTGAGAATTTTCTACTAGTTTAAATTCCATTCAGATCGGCTAAGCAGTGAAGGTGCTATAAAGTAACAAACAAACAAACTCACACATAATATTAGTAAGGATTAGTAATTAAGGATATCAAATGTAAAGATTATTGTGTCAATTTCAAAATCAACTTTATTTAAAGTGAAATCATGAACAATATTAAGAATATTTTCTTTGTGTAATAATATGATTTGCAAAAGTAATATTTATAAAGGTAAGTTGAAAATAGCGGTTTTGAATAATATTTACTTATTCTTTTAAAAAAGAAATGAAAAACAAAATTGGTGCCAAACAGGCAAATGTATAGCGTAAAAAAAAGAAATGCCAACGATCATAGACCGTCATTTGCATAAACGTAAAAATTTATTCTAATACTTAAAATATCCCGCTATTAAAGTAGGAAAAGCTGTACGTTTTACCACTTGGTATACAATTAGTAAAATTATCGCGTAAAAAGAAAAAAGTTTTGAAGTAAATCAAAAATGCTAGCGGTTATAGACGCGTCAATATAAATTCTTATATTATTTCTATTATATTATTATTTATTATATAATACACGTTCTTATGTTAATGCATTTTAAGTAATTAGTAACAATAAATTATTATTTATTCTTACTAATTATTTAAAATATCCTGCTATTTAATAGGGGAAGCTGCTGTACCTTTTACCGCTATACCTTGATTATATGAAGTTTTTTGTATTCCTGTATGAAGATAAGAGATAGACAACTCACAAAGATGGGAGGACAAACTTTTTATGAAAAAAGCTTCAATAAAACATATTTAAAAAAAGAAATAAACATATTTAGCCTAGAATGAATAACAAAAACATGTTAATGATTGCTTTCAAGTTGTTATTGCGATTTGGTTATTAAAATATAGACAACTAATATGCCATTAATATTCAATTCTATATTGCCTTTTATTTGTCTTTAAACTGCCTTTGATCAAGATACAACATACGCTGATCAAGGTATATGGCAATGCTGTAAAATAATTAAAAAACCTTTTAAGATGTTAAGCAATAATTTTGTATGTTTCATATTTTGAGTTTAGTAAGTTACTCTTTAAAATACAGCTATATTCCTTAGCATAGGTATCATATTTTTAATGTATTAAATATTTTAATAAAAAAGTATCAAGGTACAACATCTTCACTTACTTTATTCTAATACGTGTTACTAATATAGTAACACTCGATTAAAATCACTAATACATTAGATTATAATTTAAAGCGAATAAAGTCATAAAAAAAATTACATATAAAGTAACATAAATGTAAAGAGTAATAATAACATATAATTTATTCCTTCTTATCTAACTTATTTCCATTTGTTATCACCATATGGATAAAATTATTAATGATCTCAGTTTCATTAATCGGAAGCGTCTTCAAATGTTCCTCAACTGCCTGTAAAATAAGAATAATAAATATTAAATGCAAGTAATGGCCGAGATGATATTATTATATCAGCAATTACTTGCAATTAATATTTATATATTTATCTTATCATCACTGATAATATAAATATACAAAAAAAAGACTTACACATATAAATTAAAAAAATACTAAAAAGTATGTCTTACATTAACCAATCGAGCTTTATTCCATCCACGTCCTGCCCGAATATTGTAATAGCTTTTATACCGCCTTAATGTTTTCACAGTTAGCAAGTGCATGTTTATTTCAGGCGAACGCATTCTCTTTTTATTGTTGCGTTTATATTCTATTTTGGCAATTTGTAATATATCTCTGTGATAATTACACATGTTTGTGTGTCTGGCCTGCAAAAAAAGATATATCCATATTTCATTATCTTGAATAGAATAAAGCACATACTTTAAAATTGTTATAGTAGTGAAAAATTAATACCTTTGGATTAAGACGTAGATTGAGATTTTGATCGGTGATTAGCCTCACTATTCGCCTGCCGTAAACTGCACTGCCCGCGAACTGTTTGCAATGCTTGTCGTCATCCATGAGACAACATTTCAGTACCACATTACGCTTAGATTTCTTGCCGGTCATTATGTACGAACTTATAAAACTATATGTATAACAAATTAATTGATCTTCTATGTAGACCACGCACCAGGCGAGCGTGGAAATTTCGATGTATTCACAAATAATCACAATTGGAGTTATGATTTTCAATAACACTGATCTTTTCTAATGCTTACGTCAATTTTTAGTACATGAACACAGGCTATTCAGTTATTATACTTCGACCCCGTTTTAATTACAATAGTTCTTCGATATAACAGGTACACAGAAATGTTCGATAGTATTTCCAAATCATGTTATCTTGAAATTATCCGTTTCCAATGATGTATTCACTTGCTTCATTCAAATTAGAACAAGATCATTTATTTTTTCAATCAATAATTTATAAAACATAACCACGGGTGCCGTGGACAGGAATAGGATAAGACAAAAGACTTTCGCATCGACCGATTGCGGCAATCACCATTTGATTTATAATTGTAAATGTAGGTATTTGTATATAACATGCTAAGTATGTACTATACACCTTCAATTATTTTAATTTGCTTTTTTGACAATTATTGCATTTTATTTATTCTGTATATGTCGTTAAAGTCGACTTTAAAATTATAATACAATTTTTACAATATATATTTATATCACTAGAAATATCTTATTACCGTAAATATATTTATCGGTTTCGCAAAACAAAATGTTGAATTGTCAAGAGTAAAAGGGTCAGGTGTGACTTCAAATCACTCGCCGAGGGTTCCGTACTTGCAATAGTTTTTAAAAAGTTTATTTATTTTATATGTTTTTGTACATAAATTTTTAATATGGATATTAGGTTATAACGAAAATGTATACAAGCGGACTTATCATTAAAAGGGATTTCTTCAACTTTTACCCGAAAGAATAAAATATCTATAGAATTTGTATATGATGCAGACAGGTAGAAATAAAATTGTATTAAATAAAAGTGTATTATTTTTAGACAACGTTTGTTTGTTTTGTTCCCTTTAAACAACAATTATTTGAATATGTTGGACACTCGTTAACAATAACTAAAACACACAAAGAAAGAAACTAAGAGAAATAAATTATTACAAGATGAATGGACGTATTATAATCTTGCAATTACCATAACATACAAAAAAACCAAACAACATACGAGTAAAATTTTTTAAATGTAAGTAATAACTCCTTATTGTATTTTTAAATATTTTATAACGTTTGTAAAAATACATAAAAATTAGTTTAAAAATGTCCAAATGAAACCCGTTCATATGATACCCCATAGAGACCAGTAGGCCAATTTTTTAATTTTAAGTATCCATTTAAAACATCCTAGCAAAAAATAAATAAATAAAAATATTCCAACCTCCGAATTGATAGCATTAATAGTTGCTGAGATATGACGCTGTGATAGACGGTTGGACAGACAGTCGCACCATAAGGGTTCCTTTAGTACGGAACCCTAAACATGGAAACAGTTTAGCTTGTAATTTAGCGTATGTCAAAATGAGCAGTGTTGTACCCTCAAGCAGCGCTATTTGTTCGCTCACTCTTTCGTTTCAACGTAACATTGCCCGCATACCCAACCTTATGCAGTACGCATAACACATATTTTAGTTCAGCAAACGATAAGATCAGAACAGTATACAATATTTAATTGAATTTTAATTTATTTACAATTTTATTAACCAGCAAAATTGTTTTTTTTTCTTTTTTTTTTTGTTAGTGGTAATAAAGATTATTTATCTATCCATCTATCTATTTATGCATTAATTCCCAAGGAACTACTGGGGTGAATGTGTCCAAACGCAATGTGACAACGTAGCTATATCTGTATTATTAATAATAAATTAAACAAATTTACTAAGAATAATAAATGAAAGACCGCTTTAACAATATTTTTTATGTAAAACTTTATTTCAGTCTATACATTCTGTGGGCTGAGATACCTCTGTCTCAGATCTGAGAAGTCTATTGCTGGCAATATACCCTATCAGGTAGACTTCCACACGGTTCCACCTGAAAATTATCTTGGATAATTCTTTATCGGCATGTCTATGTGTGTTTATGAAGTTATTACTTTTTATTTCAGAGCAATATGTACTTGTTTATGTTGTTTTAGTTAATCGGTTCAAAATTAACGAAGGTGTATGCATCTATCTGTATGTGTATCTATAGTGTATGTATCTATAGACAAAAAAAATATTAGGTAAATCTTGTCAAAACTGAAGATTCCAGGATCAAACACTAATAAACAGCGAGGAAACAAAATTTATTGTAGACCTTTCTTACAAAGCAAAATGAAACCGATTTTATTACATTTTATATTCTCACTGGCATCACATAAGTGTGCTATATTTCAAACTAAGCGATGTTAGCAAGCACTTCAGCCATCTAACCTTTTTAGGAACCACAAATACATTAACGAAGGAAGTTGAAAGGTTGCAAATATAATACAATGTGGGATTTAATTATCCAATAATTAATTACACTAGTATGATGTGATTAATCTTAGATAATTAAAAATACATTTGATACACCATATTCCGTAGCACGTATCCATTTTCGAGAGCTTAAACACCGATGTACGGGTATCGCATCAATGTTCAATTATATCTCGCCCGCCTTCGCTTACGTATTAAGTGCATGCTCTAATCCTTATGTTACGAACTACATTTTGTATTACCAGAGTGTACTCTATCCTAATAGAATATAACAGAATACGCTACCCCTTCCTTTCCGTGGATGTCGTGAGACGCGACTAAAGGAATTTAATAGTCGATGAATGGGCAGCTTAAAATATCACCAAAGTCTAACTGCGGTTGCAAACTCGCCCGCCAACCGTGGCAATTACTGGGAAAGCCCTTATGAGGGAGGCCCTAGGAGGATTATTTTAAGAGGGACGCTGCTTCTCATTCCTTAACTATTAAGTTCCTTTAATCGCCTTTTACAACACCCACGTGAAAGGAAGGGGTGGCCTATTCTATGCTGGGACCACACGGCGAGCTGTATATTAAGTTAATGTTATTTATTTATAAATGTAAAAAAAATATTTGATAATTATAATTGGTACAAATTAATATTGTTAGAATTTTGTGTGGGCTCTGGTTGCCTTTATTAAAGAAATTATTATTATATGTGTTATTATTAATTGTAATAAACACACTAAAGGTCCAACTGGTGCAGTGTCATCTATAAATGAACACCACTATGGATTCCAGATTTGTGATGTTTATGGTACTTCGTACACGTCTATCAAGCGTGGTCAAACTACCCTATGTACAGTAGTGGACAGTTAACGGCTTATATAATAATAATTTAATAAATAGTACTTCTTATATATTACTATTCTTTACGATTAAGGTGCCTCCATACTCTGTAATTAGACTGCCATATACATTCAATATACAATAAACAGTCATGCAAGCACAACTGCTAAGCGCCGGAAACACGAGTGGTATAGAGGTATCAAAAAGAAAACTTTTGTGCCGTTTCTCTTTCATAACTCAGTCATATTTCTTTTCAACCGACTTTCATAAATAAAGATTGTGTCCCACAAAAAATCTAACCTCAGTTGTGACAAAACCAGTTATTTTGACCTAAAAACAAAATTACTGATTTGCTGTTCTACCATGAAATGAAATTCCGAAATTTCGGGCTCAATTTCGTGTTTTTGTTCGTACCGAAATCGAACCAGTGAATGGAGCTTAACGTTTCGTTCATCATAAATCCTATCCTAATAGTCCACAGGAACGATATTTAAACATTTTTAATAATTTGAAACGGCATGTATTATGTAATTTTAACATCAAATTTCTGTTTCGTTCGTCCCCGAAATTTCGGAAAATATTTCATGGTAGGCCCTCAGATTTTAAAAAAGTTTCTATGGAACCAATCTTACAGACAGCATAGCCTTTCAGATAAGAAAAAAAAAAACAGAATTTTACAAAACTGTTTAGAACTGACGGAGTTATGAGGTAACAAACATAAAATAAATAACGCCGAATTGAGAACCTACTAAACTGTAAAACATTTTGGAAAATTCTTTGTTTTCCTGCATGGACATACTCACAGATTAATCCCGTATAAATTTTATCAAAATCGGTTTAATAGTTTAGTTTTTAAACCAAAATAACTTAGTTTAGCCACAACTGAAGTAGGTCTTTTTTGTGGATTAAATTTTTTTTTATTTTGGGCATTAAACCCTCTACTATAACATATTACATACGTAAAACAGAATAAACTGAATTAATTATTAATAAATCAATTAACTCGGCACTGTCATATTCATGTTATATTCTGGTACATATTATTCATTCAACAAACCTTATTCTGTACCAATGTTACATTTAATCACATAAGCATTTCATGAACCGAAATGGAGTGAAAATCATAAAATTGCCCTTATTACTGTTATGTAAAAGTGATATTTGTATGTTGCAGGCAATTATTTATGTTCAGAAAATACTTCGTTCGTGTCATCAGTTTACGGGAATACGCTTCAAATAGATTTTAATATTTCGACATGCATTTATTAAATATATGTAACGAGAATTAATTATATTTGTCATTAGATATATTTATGATCGTATTTTCTTAAAATACACTAGCGACCCGCTCCGGCTACAGACGGTTTTTTTTAGATAAAAGACAACCCATGTTACTCACTAATAATGCAGCTTTCTATAGGTTACAGATTTTTTAAATCGGTTATAGAATAGAAAAAAATGTTTATTGTGAGCTATTATTATTATTAGTATTTCAGCCGTTAACTGTCCACTGCTGAACATAAGCCTTCTCCATAAGGAGAGTTTGGCCAGTACTTGCCTCGCTTGGCAGGCGGGTTGGCAACCGCAGTTAGGCTTTTAAAGATGTTTTAAGAAGGACGCTGCTATCTTTCTCTCATCCTCCTTTAGTAGCCTTTTATGACGCCCACGGAAAAGAAAGGGGTAGCTTATTCTATGCCGGGACCACAGCGCGAGCTGTACATTATAATAATTCATAAGATGTTCATGACGTCTTAAAGAAAATTTACTAAGCCTACCCATACGTCGGACATACAATACAATTAAGTCGTCATTAAACTTCAGGACAGAATAAAATACAACAATCAACAGCAATAAATTCACACATGGTCACAAATACAATATATTTATGATTATTTTATATATTAATTGAATTAATTATAATGTCAACAAAAAAAGTCTAGAAGCAAATAATTCATTGTTCAAATTGTATAAAGCATTTTCACCTAACCATTTTTTTTTTAAATAATTTTAATTTAGTATTGCATTATTCTTTTAATTTTTTTGGTAAATTATTATAAATTTTGTTATATAGTTTTTAAGCTTATCCATTAGAAACAAAAAAGTATACAAAAAATCAAATCTTTTCTTTTCATAATATTAGTTCCGATTATATGGAACACTTTGATTTTACAGCTGTTTAATACACACTTTCAACATTCGATCGATTCGATGGTGGATTCAATCTCAGCATCATTCCAGATTAGCATTCCTTCTATTCTTTATCTTTTATTGTACACAAGCATAGTGATAAAAACATTTAATTTTAAACGTAATGTAAAAAGGCGAGCCGATTTCTAATAAGAGATTCCTTCTAGCAAACCTTTTCATGTGAACTAAATTGTTGTTTGAAAATAAAAAAAAAAGGCAGTAATTAATTATTCATGACCGTAGGAAAGATTTCGCATAGATCTGAGCGTTTTCTATTCTATGTATATAAATATATAGTATAAATGCCGCAAGTGTCATAGGGACCTTTGGGTCGGGTACGGATTATGAATACGACTGATCATAAATTTTTTTTTTTGTATATATTTATAAAATAATAAAATATACAGTATTTTTTCCAACAGCTGTTTAGCTTCAATACAAGCTCTATCAAGTTAATGACCAGAGGGTTAACCATATAATAAAATTACAAATTTTCGGACTCAATTTCTTGTTTCTGTTCATACTGAAATCGGCCTAGTAAAATGAGCTTAAAATTTTGTTCATCATAAATCCTACCAGAATAGTAAAAAAAGAAAGATATTTTAATATTTTTAAACGTATGTATTATGTAACTTTAATATCAAAATTGTGTTTCGTTTGGCCACGAAATTTCAGAAAATATTTCATGGTAGGCATTTGGCAGTGGCTATTTAATAGCTTAGTATTACAGACAGACTTATTTTCTATATAAAGTAATAATATCTACAACACATTTTAATCTTCGCGTGTAATTTCAATATCAGTGTTTCAAATATTGATTTCCATTTCTCGGAACGGACGATGACTACCCGGACTGTTATACATACGTTGACGTGTAAAACTACTCTGAGCTGTGCGGGTGACAGCAAACATATTGGGCAATTCCAATAATCAATGTTGTATTTTGTTATATTCATTAATTATGACGTAGTAATTTTTTTATCGATTTACTAATTTATTGGTTGGACCGACAAGAGGAAACTCTTAAATGAAAATGAATGAACTAATTTATTACCCACGCAATGCTATAATACGTAGAGAACAATACAAGAGATTCTAGAAATCAAATTGAATGTGATATTTATATATATTTTTTATCTAAATTGCTGATATCTGTACCAAGTATGTTATATTGGAAACAAGTATCGCATTATTTTGTTCTTGCGTCAATTATTACAAAATCAGATCTTTGAGGGGTCATAATTCTTTATATATATATTAAATTTCGTGTCATGCGGTGTTTGTGGTTGCACTCCTGCAAAACAGCTCGATCGATTTTTATGGCATTTTTATGTATATTTGTCAGCTATGAGAATAGGTCGTAAATTATATTTCATACCATTAGATTATTACGGTGTCTTTACCCAGAAAAAATAATTTATATGACACAACAGCGTTTGAGTTCCGGTATCCTAGTCTACACGTAAAGCAACGCATGAGAGGTTGAGTGTGAGTTCACTCAGCGGGATAAAAAGTAGCATATTTATATTATATATTATACTATATTAGTTTTATTGTATAAATTGAATAAAAACTAAGATTTATTCATGGTCATACGTTGTTTACTGTTAGGAACATTTATTTAATTTTATTGTTCACAACACACTTTTATTTAAATTATTCAAATAATTTTCGATTTCGTTTTTTAAATACATTACAGTTGATAGCTTACTATCTCATTTTCAACGATTAAACATTCGATATGAAACTCGTATCCATTAAAAACATTACAGAAAGATAAGAGATTGACAATATTGACCATTTTTATTTTTATTTTGAATAAAAGTCCTAATTACAATTTATGATTACAAGAGTAAACAATTTCATAATTATAATAAAGTAATAGTTCAGATGAGAACATTTTACGAAAATCGTTTCAGGTCATGAAATACAGTTTGTAAAAGTCTTTATTACAATGTTAGATTTACGACAAAATCCTTTACCATAAATACCAGTAGAACTCTAATTTAAGATTTGTGATTTTATATAATTAAATTAATATAAAATAAATACTTTGTGATTATTATTTTTTTATTTTATTATACAAATATATTGTATACATACATAATATTTTGATTTGGGACCAGAACTGAGAACTTGCTTCTCGAATTAATGAGAAAAAGGTTTTATATAAATCAATGCCGTGTGATCTCACATGCCGCATATAATGAGCAAGGGGTGCCCTTCGGTTCGGGGGTGTCGTAAAAGACTAGTCAGTGAACTTAATTGTCAAGAAATAAGCAACAGCGTCCCTCTTAAAACAAAAAGCCTAAATACGATTGTCAACCAGTTCGCCAAGCGTGGCAACTACTGGTAAATCTCCCGGTATACGTGAGGCCTATGTTTAACAGCTGACGGTTAACGGCTGATAGGATAATAATTAAATGAGAATTTATTATTTTGTATTATACTCGTAAATAACGCTGTATTTCAGAAATTTGTGAAATCAATGGTACAATAAATCATTTACGTTTTTTTTTATAGCACAAGAGGCACACGAGCATGCGGGTTACCTGACGGTATGTGATTACCGCCACACAAAAGCACCCGCTGAACAATTTCAGGTGTGATTTTAGAACATATTTTTTATTATAGACATTTGATTATAGACATTTAGGACAGAATATGCTGTTTTCTTGAAAGTTATGCAAAAACCGACTTAGATTTTAATGAAAATAAGTTATTACGAAAATAAATATATAACGGTCATAAATTCCGAAGTAAAGCAAAAAAGATATTTATGTGTAGCGAGATCTTAGACCCAGTTGTTTCTTAAATTATTTCGTAAATGTGTTGGTGTAAAGATAATACTTACAGAGGTCGTGTCTCTCTCTATCGGGGCTTTTGGCCATCATTGAGGTCCTTTTCGAGGGCATCGGCAGCGAGGGTTTGGGCCGGTTCTGCATTTCGGCCAGCGCTTGTTGCACTGCCTCCTGCCTCACTTCTGTAATGTACAGTCAATGTTAGATCATAATAAATAATAATAATAATACTATTAAACATCAAACAGCGCCATCTAGTTATAAAATTATAATCTGCTCGATGACATCGAAACTATCAGTATGTTTTCCAGCGAGTGTACTATCAGATTAATTGAATATTTTCTCCAAAGAAACGTGGGTTGGAAAATGAATTTGTGCCTACCATACTAACATGCATGCTATAAAGACTCCAAGCTTTTTGTATTTTTCGACTCATGTTTCTTTCGAGAAGAACGACCAGTTTCATTGATAGAACACTCACTAAATAGAACGCTAATGATTTATTATTCCATCACAGAATGGAATATCTATAGAGATATTGGAAACCAATAGATTAAAATCATATTTCTAAAAAAACATTCATTTTTAATTATACATTATAACTAAAAAAAAAAAAAATACTGGTTTTCACACAATATTATATATGTATAATTTCAATTAGTTTACCGGTTTTGATAATATTCTTATGGGACCGATCTGTAAATATACTTTCAGATAAATAACATTTCAAATCGGTTTATAACTAACGATTATTAGGTAATGAATAAAAAAACTAATGAAGTAAGTTAAAAATTAAGTACATTTCTTTTGTCAAAGGATAGAATGCTTAAACTACTATAAACATACATCATACATGTTTGAATGTTACGGGGATTAAAGCTGCACAACTCAGAACCAGGGTCCTGTATTTATATTAAAATATTTGTCTATTGCTAGTCCTAGTTCTTGGAGTTGGCTACTCATAACAGTGCCGTGAGTGGCTTAGTATATTTATGATAATATTCATGCTGTTATTACCACTTTCAACGAGTAGTCGGGTTGTTTGCAATTTTTAGCATAATAAAAATAGTACCTACTGCAAAAAAAAAGTTTTTTTTTTTTTATACAACTTAGAATGGCAAACAAGCTGACAGTCCACCTGATGGAAAGTTATAACCGTCGCCTATAGACATGAGCAGTACCATGGACATAACAGAGTAACAGACAATATGGACAATAAAAGAGTAGAGACAAACAAACTATTTTTCACGTTTATAATATTAGTAAGGATCGTAATCCATGGAAATGTTTATATATATATATATATATATAAACATATATATATATATATATATATATATATATATATATATATATATATATATATATATATATATATATATATATATATATATATATATGTGATAACTTTATCCGCCATAAATGGCCAGAGGAATCCAATATATTGGTGGCGGTATCCATGTCTATTTTGTAATAGTAAAAAGAAAGATATAATGAAAATCATGCTCATATAATGAAAAAATAAAAGTAGATAACATAGCACTTATTAATAAACGATTAAGCACTGAAATAATATATTTAAGCATGCAACTTAGTTGAGTTATATTTGAAAATGATATGCAAGTTATGAAGACACAGAATATAGTTCTTTATCAAATTATAATTTGCTATTTTAAAAATTTTAGCCTTAATTTGTGGTTTATACCACGAATAAAGGCGAAAATCTTTGACATTGATTGTCGTACATTGCATAGTGATTAGGTCGTAGCGCTGTAATATGACATCTGACAATAGGCATACAAATAATGACGCAGTATAGACATTAAACATAATAACAAACCATGAAAATAATTACAATAACCATCCTGAATAATAAATGTTCAGTCACAAAAAAAAAAAAACAAGACAACAACGTTCATGATTATATTTAAGTTGAATTTGAATCATCAAGTCTTAGATCGTTTTCCTTATCAATAGTAGAGGTTTTTTTTGTACAATTTAGAATGGCAAACAAGCTGACGGCCCACCTGATGGAAAGTGGTAACCGTCGCCTATAGACATGAGCAATACCGTGGACATAACAGAGTATACTGTTTCGCCCATGATACCTCCCATGCGTTGCCATTCCTGAGGATTCAGATGTTATTCCTCTGTACTCTGTAAATTCACGCCATATCCCACCCTTCAAACCGAAACTTTTGTACAAATATATAGCAATATCAAAGTGGGTAATATATAGCAATATTTATATATTTTAGTTACAATATCTATATATTGGCTCAATAATAGATATATTAAATATCGGTTTATCAATAAATAATATTAAAAAGAAGAACAACATTGAAATTAACATAGATATCAGACCGGTATGAGCGATACCGAAATAGGTATGGATTTTTTTCCGTCATCAATCTGCAGAAGAAGTCGATATATGGATATCAGAAAGGTACTGATAAGACTCATGCCTAATCAATAGTATAGACCAGCGGTCAGCAACCAGCGGCCCGTGGCCTGTTTTGTGACACTTTCATTTACAAAACTTTTATTTTTATTTCAGCGGTTACAACTTCTTCATTTTTCCAACAAAATGTTTTTGTATTTTTATTACCACCGATATAGACCGATTATCAAAATTATGAACAAGTGCGGTCCGTCTTTAGTTTACTTTGCTACTAAGTGACCTTAGCTTGCCAAAAGGTTGCCGATCCCTGGTGTAGACCATACGTTATAATACGATGGCCATATCTGAGTTCTATTTATGAGTATATAACATGAACTACAAACAAGTTAAAGGCCCATCTAATGGCAAATAACCGTCGTATATACATATAAACAACAAAACCGTGGATATCACAGAAAATACTTTATATATATATATATATATATATATATATATATATATATATATATATATATATATATATATATATATATATATATATATATATGACATGCATGCATAGTATGATATGAAATTATTATTAAGCTACTTTTGAAAATACCTACAAAGTCCTCTTCACAATTTATTTTACAATTTAATTTTACATTCGGCTGCATCCATAGAGAGATTCTCTATGGATGCAGCCGAATGTAAAATACGGTAAAGTAAGAGTGAGTGCAATCGAGTCTATATTACGTTGAAATTCTATACACTTCAAATATGAAGTGCTCATCTTATTATAGTTGTTAGAATATTAACTTGTAAAACGAGCCTGTAACGAATATAAGAGATTATACCTTCATTTTATTGCAAAAGTGTGGACGTGATAACATTTTATTAGCGAAGATATTAAAATATGAACATGGATGGATATAAAGGAAGGGGAGGACCAAATGAACAGTGAACGGATTGTGTGAAATATGATATGCATAAAAGAGAGATAAGTCCAGGCATGAAGGTTGATATATTCTAGCGGAAGAGCAAGACGTATTGCATCAATTCTAACTTTTTGTGATACAAAGTTTAGTGAGGCCTTTATTTATATAACTAAAAAATGCTATCTTCCGACTGATTCAACATGTGTAAAAATCTCAAAACAGAAAATCAAAACACTAAAAATAGGCCCTCCTTCTTTTCTGTGAAGATCGTGAAAGACGACTAAGGGAAGTTAATGGGCGAGAAATGAACAGCAACGTTCCTTTTTAAACATCACCAAGTCCTAACTGTGGTTGCTAGCCTGCCTGCCAAGCGTGGAGACTATTTGGCAAAATCCCTCAATAGGGGAAGTCCTATATTGAATAGCGGAAAGTTAATAGCTGATATGATGAATAAATACATTTTAGTACTGTAATGTCCTTAGAGTCTTAAGTCTTGAATAGACAGCTGCATAATTACAAGTACGCATTAACCTGAAATATTGACAATATCCTTAATGGAATCTGTTCCCTTTAAGATCAATCATTCGATAAATTGATCGAGTAGTTTGCGGAAGTCAGACCGCAATTAGAATGCCCGGTGTTATTATCAAAGTATTAAATATTATAGTCATATACTTTTGAATGTCGTTAATACATTCCATAACTATTTTAGTACCTTTCAGTCATCATATCAGCCTTTAACTGTCCATTGCTGAACATGAGCCACCCCCTTGGGGGGTTTACCAGTAGTTTCAATGCTTGGCAGGCGGATTAGCAACCGCAGTTAGGCTTTGGAGATGTTTTAAGGAGGATGTTGTTGCCCATCGCTCGCCCTCCTTTAGTCGCCTCTTATGACATTCCCGGAAAAGGAAGGGATGGCCTAATCTATGCGGGACCACACGGCATATATACACGGTAAATAGTATCTACATATCTGCTTCTTTATTGTCAACGTTTCGACGTGCATTGCACTGCGTAAAATATGTGTACACAATGTGAAAGATTAAATTGAAATCATGTATTTGGTATGTAATGATAAATGTAGAATTGGACTTTTTTTTCTAATTGAAATAGGAGTGGGAAAATTTACCTGATATATAGTAATTACGTCTCGGTTGCAAAAGTAAATAAACCCAAGAATTAAATAAAATATGTTATAACTACAATTAAAGCAAAGCATACTTAGAAATATGAGTGCATGTAATTTACCCTACAAAAATTTTCTTTAAAAACCAGTTTAAAATACCGTGGATAAGTATATACTTATTTTTTTAACGATGGCTTGGTGTTCGTGATCTTACTTTGAATTGAGTTTATTAAAGATTTACTAATTATGTTTAAAGAATATTTTTATTACTAAACTATATATTCATTATCTACAACTCTATGTATCCATGTTTTTAATATATTACTTTATTGTAGGCGTTTTATCTCTATACGTGTATGGTCCATTTTAGTCAACTAACTAGATAAATTATTGTTATTATATGTTTCGATACTCGTTGTCTATTTTTATATAACAAAAAAAAACTATATTTTTATTAGTCCTTGTGCTAAAATAAAATAAAACAATATTAAGATACCGATAATATCAGTTGTTCCAGAAAATAAAAAAAAAAATATACAGGAAGGACGTGATCTAATATTTTAATATGTAGAAAAAGAACAAGCAAACAAAAACTGTATCTAGCATCAATGCTAGATCAATTATGTTTCGCCATGCTGTTCCGTATCATAGATCACATAGAGTGCCTCATGCTTATCAGATACAAAAACAACGTTTCTAATAGAAACCCATTAATTGCGTTCTCGTCTTCGCGTGACA